CACCCATGCACTATCTTGACTTTTCCAGGGGTGTCCAACCTGCAGCCCATAGGCTGCATGCAGTTCAGTTAGACTGTAAATGTGTCCCAACACAAAATCATAGATTTACTTAAAACATTATGAGATTTTTTTATGATTATGTGTCACAATTTATTTGATGTGTGACCCAAGGTAACTTTTCTTCTTCTAGTGTGGCCAGAGATGCCAAAATGTTGTATACCTCTGATAGCCATACCCTCAGTATTGCCTACTCAAGAAATGATATCTCCTTCTGGCAAAGGTGTGTTTGTTGTTTCTCTAAATCCTGCTTTCTGCAGGTTCCCTTATCACTTCTGGGTTATCCCCAATATACAGTATTTGCCATTCCACTACTATTCCCACTGTATTTTTGTGGTTTCCTGCTCCAATTTGATTGGTTTTGAGGAAAATTCCCCAAATTCCTACATCATTTGATTCTGACTTCTGTAATTTCTCTCCACCCAGTATCACTGAAAGTGTAAATTGAGAGGGCATCATTTGTTTCTCTGGTTATTTCAAGGATTTAGAAGGAGTAATAAAAAGATCTGTACTTGGACTTATGCCAAATTACTACTAAAACCCACAACTTTTAAGTGGCCTTTGCTATTAACAACTGAATCCAAATTCATTTGTTGGATTACAAATTTGTTAGATTATAAAAGGCCCTGAAGTTATTGTACCTGGGGGTGATAACTGAATGTATAGAGGAGAAAGAAACTAATTTAGGCATGGTTTCCAACAGTTTGCCTAGACCTCAATTTTGCTGGGAGTTAATAACAGCAGTCTGAGTTGCCATAGGCCTATGATACATCATCTCTTCACTAAGCAATACATTTAAATACATTTATGAGGTATTAACTCTTGATCCTATTTTTTAAATAAAAGATGGTAATAAGCAAGACATGGGAGGCAATTTGTATTAAACATTTGATTCAAATACTCTGGTTACATTTTACAGTGAGAGAAAATACAGGCAGGCATTATGCCCATAACTCTCCTAAGCAAATAGGCTTGATACCACTTTATTTTATCCTCATCACAGCATTTTTTATAAAATCTCAATAATTTCCAGAAATAAGCCCAAGTCTCTGTGATCAATTAATATTTGACAAAGGGGGCAGCAGCATACAATGGAGCAAAAATAGCCTCTTCAAAAAAATGGTGTTGGGAGATATGGACAGATAAGTGCAAAAAAATGAAACTAACTCGACCACCAACTTATACCATACACAAAAATAAATTCAAATAGGATAAAAGACTTAAATATAAGTCATGACACCTTAAAAGTCCTAGAGGAGAACATAGGCAGGAAAACTTCAGATACTCCACTCAGCAATATTTTCACCAATTTGTTCCCTAGAGCAAGGGATATAAAGAAAAGAGTAAACAAATAGGACTTCATAAAAGTAAAAAGCTTCTGCATGGCTAAAGAAAACATCAGCAAAATGAAAAGGAAACCAACCACATGGGAAAATATCTTTGTCAGTGATACCTTGCACAAGGGTTTGATTTCCAAAATATATGTAGAACTTACATGACTCCACACCAGGAAGACAAACAATCCAATTACAAAATGGACAAAAGACTTGAACAGACACTTTCACAAGAAGACATACAAAGGGCCCAGAGACATATGAAAGAATGCTGAGAATCACTAGCCATCAGAGAGATGCAAACTAATACCACAATGAGATATCACTTCACAGCGGTCAGAATGACCATCATAAACAAATAAACAAACAAGTGCTGGAGAGGTTGTGGAAAAAAGGGAAACCTAGTACACTCTTGGTGGGAATGCAAACTAGTGCAGTCACTGTAGAAAACACTATGGAATTCCCTCAAAACACTAAAAATGGAATAGAGTTTGGACCCGGCAATTCCACTGCTAGGATTTACCCTTAGAATCCTAAAATACCAATTCAAAAGAACCTATGCACCCAATGTTCATAGCAGTGTTATTTACAATAGCCAGGTGCTGGATGTAGCCTAAATACCCATCAATAAATGAGTGAACGAAAAAACTGTGGTTTTACATTTACATGATGGAATACTAGGCAACACAAAGAAAAAAGGAGGTCTAACCCTTCATGACAGTGTGGATGGAACTAGAGAGCATTATGCTAAGTGAAATAAGCCAAGTGGCAAAAGACAAAATACCATATGAGCTCACCCATAAGTGGAACCTAGTTAACAAAACAAACAAGCAAAACCAGAGACATGGAAATAAAGAACAAACTGACAGTAACCAGAGGGGAAGGGGAAAAGGGATAACAGGGCAAAGACAGGGAAGGGTGAAGTCAAGGAACCTTTATAAAGGACCATGGACAAAGACAACTGGTTTAAGGGAGGATTGAATGTGAGAGGTTGGGGTTGGTAGGGCAGGGAGAATAATGAGGGAATAATGGGGACAAGTGTAATTGAACAACAATAAAAAAATGAAAGCTTCTAAAAATATCAATAATTGTCCTTCAAACAATTTTTAAAACACCTCTGAAATGTTGAAACATGTACCATCTTTTTTATTATTATTATTACTGAGTCTCATATGATCTTCCAATGATATACTCTTCTTACTGAATAAAACATTCTCTTTTAATTATAATGCTTTCAATATTTATATTTTTCTAAAATGCAAGATATTTCTAGCTCTGGCAAGTGTGGCTCAGTGGTTAAGTGTCAGTTAAGGCACATGCCTGGGTTATGGTCCAGGTCCCCAGTAAGGGGTACATGAGAGGCAACTACATATTGATGTTTCTTTCCCACTCTTTCTCCCTTCCCCTCTCTAAAATAAATACCTAAATAAAATCTTAAAAGAAAATACAAAATGTTTCTAAATGTAATTTGTAAAATTTCACAAGCTATATTGTATACATATAATTGAATTTATTTTTCACATTTAAATAAAATAGATTTTTTGTCTAATTATTACTCTCTTATCAGTTATTTATTTAAAATATGAATGTATTTCAATACATCTTCCCACCTAATGAGTTTGTCATCTTTTACTGTTTTAAAAAATATTTAGATTTTGTCATTGATAAAGTAAATTTCACTTTAATGCATATATTCATTATTCATGAGCTTTTCAACAAATTATATATTTTATATTATAAATAATTAAAACACAGGTACTTCATGCTATATTAGTATAATTATTTTGCAATTGAAAAACAAATCATGCATAAAATGTTCAATATTTTGAGGTCACAAGGCTAAATCAAGGGCTGTCTGCAAGAGGGCATACCTGACCCCATCATTAGAGGATGCTGTGTGACCAGGGAACAGAGTAACAGTTTGTCAAGCAGGTGACAGGGATGATATTTCAAGATAAAGATAAATCTCAAACAGGCCTCCACAAAAGTGACCAATATACATTTAACACATATTTGAAAATTGCCATTGAAATAACTGCTTCTGTTATAAACAGGGACAAATTTTCATTAGGAGTGTAAGTATAATATATGTTTGACACCCAAATACAGAGTAAGGCAAATATAGGTTTATTGTTTTGTGTACATAAAACACAGTTTATCCTTGTTCTATTATTTAAAATTATTGTATTGTTTTTCATACAAACAACTATAAACCTACTTTTGCCCTGCCATGTAATATAATTGCATAATATTTGAAAACATAAATAAGCCAAGATGAGTAAATAAAAATTGACACAACTTTACAAATCAGTAATAAACACTTGTCAACATTTTATATGAGGCATTTTGTGCATGTGTGTAAATATTTATAGGTAGAGATTTCAGTTTTTTCCCCACAATATTATACAGTTTTTTTTCACTTTATTTGCTGAAATATTTGTAAACCATATGGTTAATTTATATGTGGGTATAAATTAGCCATTCCACTATAATTGAACAATCCCATTGTTTCAAGTATTTGTTATTGATTTCAGAGAGATAGAGAAAAACATCAGTCTGTTGCTCCACCTATTTATGCATTCACTGCTCAACTCCTGTATGTGCCCCAACCAAGTATCAAACCAGCAACTTTAGTGTATGGGGGTGATGTTCTAACTAATTCAGCAACCTGGCCATGTCAGATTGTTTCTAGCTTTCCATTATTGTTACTACTTTGAATAACATATTAATAAAGGACTGTTTTAAAAAATATACAAGGGTGAGCAAAAATAGGCTTACAATTGTAATGCCAATAAATAATATGATAATTAATATATAACAATGCAAGAATAAACTGTGTTTTGAATACTCACAACCAGACACCTACTTTTGTCCACCTCTGTGTATCTGATTATCTAATTGATGATATTGAGATATTGATGGGTTGGATATGTATGAAGTTTTGAGACTCTGATAGGGACTTCTAATTGTCTCTCCAGTTTGACTTTGTCATGCCTGCAGGCTGTACTGTGACATAGCGCTGGCAGTAAAATCTGACTGAAGATGGACCTATGGAAAAGTTCTGTTAAAAGAAGGCTGACATTCTTGCCATTGTTCCCTTTTGCTTTTAGCATTAGAATGTGAGAAAAAAATTGTCACAGAGCTGGAGTTTTAGCAACTACATATGGAAAATAAACAGCAATCAAAGAATGGCTGCATGTGTGTGCACACAGAGCAAGTGTTGTGGGGGGAGGGAGAGAGAGAGAGTGTGAGAGAGATATTATGAAGCTTCTTTACTACCCCCAGATCTTCCATCTTCAGTTTTCTCATTATGTGAGAAAATAAACACCTAAATTGTTTCGGTCACTACCACTTTAGCTTTGCTATGGACAATTTAATTCCTAATTTATATAATAGGCAACTGCCTTCATGAAAGGTACATTGCCACCAACTGCATATTAAGTAACCCATTTCACTGTGCTCTAACTACCACTGGATATCTTATGTTTCAACTTTTTAAAAAATTATATGTAAAAATAACTTTTATTTAAAATTTTATTTCTTTGATTACTACAGAGATTACTTTTTTTCCAGAGTTCAGTTTTTTATTGAATGTGTTGCAAAAGAGGTTTAGTCAAAAAGACCAAAGCCTGTATCATCATCAGACTCCTCAGATTCCTCTTTCTTTGCTGGAACAGCAGTGGTGGGGGCAAGACCTCCTACTGGTGCACTATCCGCTGCTGTGGCAGGTCCACCAGCCCCTACATTGCCGATGAGACTTCTGATATCGACCTGGGCCAGAGCCTTTGCAAACAAGCATGGCCAGAAAGGTTCAACATTTACACCATCTGCTTTAATGAGGACATTCATCTTATCCTTCATCACTGTCACTGTCACCTCATTGTCGTGTAAGATAAGGGCCCAGCAGATGAAAGTGAGCTCTGAGATGGTGGCCATGATGTGAGCAAGTGCTAGGTGAGGGCTGCTGGGAGTGCTGCTGGTTGCTGGATCAAGTGAGGGCCCACCTGACCCAGGCCTCAGCTTCCTGGGAAGGACTGAGGACCTTACCAGCAGTTGGGGGAACCAGAGATTACATTTTAAAGCATGATCATTGACTTTTTGTGTTTCTCCTCTTGAGAATTATGTGTTCCTTAGCCTATTTTTTCTACTGGGATATTTACTTTACTTAATTTACACACTATCCAATGTTGACCTTCCATGTGTTATATTTTCCATTTTATCATTCATGAATTTTTGCAATTTTTATTTTTGTGCTTATTTATTACATTTTGTGGTTGTTTTAAAGATGGTGCGTTAATGCATAGAAAATCCTTGAAAACTTTCTGCCCCAAATCAAATACTGACATTTCTTTCTAGTTTTGTTTTAATGTCACAGTATCTCATTTAAATCTTTAATTTAGCTGAAATCCATTTTTGCATAAGGAACATAGCCAATTCATATTTTTCTATGATGTATTACTTATCTCAATATCATTTGTCAAATAATTTATTTTCCCATTTATCCTAAATCAATTTATGTGTTATTTTGTATTTCTTGATCAGTAAAATCACAATATTTTGGATGTCTATTATGTACCAGCATTGGTACAAATAAAGTGATGTAACAAACAGCCTATTGAAAAGAAATTAACAGTTTATTTTGGAAATAGGCAAAGAGTTTATTTCAGTAACATGTGATCAGGACTGATAAAGGGATCATCTCTGGACACTCTGTCCCTTTTTCTTTTTAATCCTGTGTGGAGTTGCCTGTTAGAACAACCTTTCACACATTTGATTGTATAGATTACTTCAGGACCTGTATATGCATTATCCCACTAAGCACTGGTGCACATTATATTTATGTGTGATGTTGTTGAATTATGAGGGCTGTGCCCTCCACTGTGACTTGCTTCATGGGATTTCATCCCTTTGCTTTTGAATGTCACCCAGCTCAGCCCATGGTTTCAGAACGAGGGTGTCCTACTGCCCTCTGAGGCCCTCTACAGAATTCATCCATATCTACTAGTTTACCTAGGTCATCCTGCAGAAACACCTACAATGCAGAAATACCCATGTTAGATTACCAGCAGGAACTGTCTTGAGAGGAATGATGTTCTCAGAGGAGGAATGTAACCATACATCAAAGGTTCTTTACAGGCTCAGATTTTCAAGCAAGATATAGAATCTGTCAAACTGTCAGAAACCCAGCATGAACCGAGTCAGTCTGTGTGAAGTCATATCGTAGTGCCATTGTTAGAGAATTCTCATGCCCTTATTCTTTTAACTAAAAATGAGCAAACATAAAAGTTTTCATACTATTGCTTTATTTCTTACTCCAATAACCACAATTCCCTCTTTTAATCAAATGAGGTTAAAATTATATTTTAAAAGGAATTTCTGTGTTTGTTTGGTTTTATCTCCACTTCTGGAGCCAAGTGGGCCATCACTTTGTGAGCTACAACTTGTGGATAAAGTAATGCTATGACAGTTGCCCTTTGTAAAAAGTCATCGCAAGCAATGACGACAGGATCACAGGGTAAGCTGGGAAAATTTTTCATGTTAGTCTCAAAAAACAAAAACTTAAAAATAAAGAGTACAAATTATTAACAGTTAATTCTGAATCCCCAAATCCTCTGCCACAGTTTTTGGAGAAGTACATATTTCCCATAGCACACCACAATACAGTTTAACTGATATTTGGCCCTGAACACCTAAAACTTTACTATTTGTAAAAATTAACAAACAGAAACCTCATTTAAAATGGAGTAGGGAGTCTAGAAGAGAGAATCCTCCTGTACTTGTCACTCAGGGCACACTCCTGACCCCAACAAGAAGAGTTGTACCTTGCATCTCTGATAGAAAACCTACCTTAGTAGGAAGAAAAAAAGATTTCTCCTTGCCAAGTGGGAGCTGGCCATAATTCAGCCAATGAAAAGTCACTATACTTCAAAATTTTAGTTTCTCCCTAAGAACTCTTCATTTATAACAGCTCCTGCAAGTCCATAAAAAAGTGTTTCAGTCCTGTGTTTCTCTGGACATGCTCATGGTTCACCACTAGGCTCCATTTTGTCCCTGAATAAACTTAGTTAGCTGGAGAAATATATGCTATTTGTATGAGGGCAACAATCTGATGCCAGGTTGAGCACGCACAGGCCAAAGCATTCTCTTCTGTGTTGATTGAGACTCACAGGGCCTCGAAATGCTCAAAACTGGAGAGAGAACAGAAATAAAAAATCAAGGAGCACAGTAATATTTATTTGCCAATCATTCTGATCCATTTACATTTCTCTTCCTCAAAATGGAATTCCCTAAAACAGTGGCCCAGATTTCTACTAGTAGTACCAATTAATAGCTCCAACAAAGATGCTCACATACATTTTTAGTATATGAGGGTCAATCATGATGAAAATCAGGCACCGCTGCATTTGTGTAGGATTGAGACTGACAAAAATATAGAAAATGAAGCAAGGGAAAGGGAAAGAGAGGGAGGGAGATTTTTTGGTAGATTTGTTGATAGTTAATATTTACTTATAATAATAGACATTTTTCTAAAAGATTTATGAGGTAGAGAGGATTTGATATTTTCTAATTGTGTCTGTGAATATCTATCACCACCTTTTGAAGCTAAAAAAATACTGCACAGTTCATCTATATTATCGATTTTACATCTGTCCCTACATGCTAGCATTATAAATTATAGTGGTTCTCCTGTGATTAGAAAGTCCCTTACCTTCTTTTCTTGCTTTTCTCTTTTTAATTTAGTAATTCAAATCATCTGAGGTATTATCTACTAAGAAACTCTTTGTATGGATGAGACATTTTAAGACCACATATATATAACATCATACGTTTATTTGATAATTAACACCTAATTCAATATAACACTTTGATGAGAAAAAGTTTAATAACTACTTATACCAGAATTCAGATAAGCACTGTGGTTGTTGTTTCGTAATCCTGGGCTCTTACTATTAGACAAAGGTACCTAAGAGTACTTTTTCATTTGCTTCATTCATTCATTCAACAAATGTATTCATCCAAAATCACTCATTTAACAGTAAGCTGAACCTCTCCAACCTCTCCCACCTTATGTCTAGCTCATGCACTCCATGCTCTTTTGTCCAGATGTTCTTTTTCTTAAGCACTATGGAGGACAAAGAAACCTTAACAGAGTTCCAGGATTCATGGGTACAGTGACCATATCAAGAGTAGGAAACAAGTAAGGTGGATGAGTAAAGTCTGACTGTCATACAGGTGATGCTGAATTAACATTTCCTTTCTCCTGTCTCATATGAATGTAAGAATCTCAATGTCTACCAACACCCTCCATATTGTTTTAATCAGAATTCACATCATTGGTGGGTTTTTGTTTTTGTTGTTTTTATTGTTGTGCTTGTGTACTTGGATGTCTTCAACTACATTCAATCTCCAGTTTTGCTGTTACCATTTAGGAATGTCCAGTTTCTGTCACTTCCATCACACCTTTAATTCTTTTCTGGGTTTCTACTCCAAACTGCTACCAAAATCTAGAAGTTGGGTTGTGATCATTGGTCCTCCACCAGGGAAAAGTCATATCCTACATGTTCTGTAGTTCCATAATTGTCCTTTACTCTTTCTCAGATTTATTAGCTGTATTTCTGCTTGACCTTATTTTTTTTCAGTAATTTTTTCATTGAATTTTTATCCCAGCAATACATAATTTTTCCATGACTACCACTACTATTCCCTATCACCAGCTGACAATTTACTGAGTACTTACTGACCAGCAGCATAGTATTAAGCACTTAAAATTTATTACCACATTGTCTTTCTAAAATCAATGTGAAATAGCTATTAGTACCACCCAATGCCTCACAAAAGAGTTGATCTTTATTAGACTCCTAAATATTTCTAGAATGAATCCTCATTTTACAGTAGAAGAAGCTGGGGCTTAAGAATACTTTGTACCTTGCCTCAAATCAGGCAGTTAGTAATAACAATAGTTAACTTTTATCATAAACTTAATAAATGCTAGGCAGTATTCAAAGTGCTTTTACAAATATTAGTTAGTTTGTGTATTTTTGTTTTGTTTTGTTTTCTCATCATTCCATGAAGGAAAAAAAAATGCTCCAGTGCTCTTAAAAGAATGGAATTAGGAGTGTAGGGAAGGAAAACATTTTCCTCTATCTTCTTAGGACTGATGACTTAGTTTGTGAAATAAACTGATAGCAGGAAGATTAACAGAAGAAAAGATAAATAAATTTATTTTTTAATGTTATGTGCACAGGTGCATCACAAGAAAAAGAAGGGTAGTACCTAAACAACAGTGAGATTTAGGAACTTATTAATTATCTTAACAGGGGCAGAGTAGGGAGAATATAGGCAACTTAGGAAAAAAATAAATAATTTTAGGAAAGATGAATGGGCCCTTAGAATAATAGACAAAGGTGCGATAGTTTGTGGCAGTTTGTCTGGTGCCATATCAGCTTCCAGCTTCCTCTCCTGTGGTGAGTCAATCTTTCTGGCTGATTAAATTCCTGAAAAGGGGATTGATGACAATTGATGTTTGAGGGGAGGTTCTGACTTTAAGGGGATATGGAGCATTCAAAGAAAGTCTCTGTCTGCTTCATTAGAAAACTGAAGAGTTTTCTAAATTCCCTCAGAACAAGATAATCGATATGCTAAAGTGATATATTTTTGGGTGCCATGTCCTGAACTCTTCCAGTACAAATAGGCAGAAATTTCAGAGCAGCAATATATTCAATAAAAGCAAAACATAGTATAAACCACTTCATATCCTCAGGATTTTTTTCCACCAGGATTATTCAAGCAAAGGCTGTGCAACTGCTCTCCAAGGTTGCTATGGAGTAAATTCCAGAGTTTGTAGGGAGTTTAAAAACTGATATCTATGTTACCTTATTTTCAAAGTGTCTTATCTTATGGCAAGACCTTGGACAAGATAAACCTAAACAAAAAAG